TTTTCCATTGGTGGGGTAGTCAACACAAAATCCAGTAGTTACCTTCAAAATTTACCTGAATGGCAACCTATTTTCCAGAAGAAATTTTGTCATGTTTTCACAGTCTTACGAGCTAGCTTGGTAAAATATTTGATAACTTTAGTGGCAAAAAATACAATTGTTTTCTTACAATACAATACAGACTAATAAGCTCACTCATTTTTAAACAGGAATAAAAGGCATTATTTTGACCTGACTGAACTATACTTGCGCAATTATGTTTGTAATATAAGAATAAAAGAAAGCTGAACTATGCTGTAGTTTTGGGGTGAGTGAGTAGGTCATTACTGTATCCTCTCTTATTAGATGGTAATTGTTAGCTAATGGTATTCCAGGGCGTTCATAGGAGGAAGTACGGCATAAGAGGATTTTCATTCTTGCCTGTGGAGTTGCTGGAATTCTTTACACATCTGTGATCTACGTTAACCGATAGAGCTTGGTTGTTTCTCCAGCACTTGGGTTTGCAGCACATTATGGAAAACTAGTCTAGCCTGGGAATAGCCAGCAAATTTTGATTGCACTGGTTTGGGCAAGCTCTGTAGTTAGAGGAATAAGCCAATGTGAAACTGGCTGTGTATAATCAGATATCTTCTGAAAGCAACTGAGATGCTTGCAACATGAGGCAGAGCAGCTGTCAAAAAATGTTTTTGTGTAATTGTGGTTATCTTTATTTTTGGACTAACCCACATTTTGTCTTCACAGCAGCTATACTTCTGAATGGAAGTGGCTTGCAGACAGAGCTAGAGTTGGCTGCCGTTGGACATGGCTTCAAGCCCAGATTTCAGAACTAGAATACAAAATCCAACAACTAACTGACCTTCACAGGCAGATACGTTCCACCAAGGTATTGTCTGTAAGCTCGGAGATGGGCTCTTCAAATAATCTTTGACAGTGTCTTTTGTAATATATACATATATATCTTTGCTTCCTCTTTGTTGTTTGTGTTCCCTCAGAGTCCTGGTATCCAAGCATGTTGTTTCAGACTGTTACAGAGGTTAATGAGAAAGGATCAAGAGCAGAAAGAAGTACTGTAGTCTAGAGGCATCAGTACCAGATTGGGAGCCAGGAACTCTGTACGTTCCTATCCCTGGTAGTGGTTCAGTTAGTGACTTTCAGGGATCTGGGACAAGGCCCATCACTTACCATGCTAGTTTTTCCCTCTGTAGAAGAGCCAAGATTGTTTTTTCAGGAGAGGGTGGTCGATTGTCCTTTTTTTTGTGTGTTACGAGATTAGCTTCTTTTGTTATTTAAGTGAATGTTTATTCTGAGGATTAATAAGTTAATGTTTGTACAGTGCTTTGAACAAGTCAAGGATTAATTATTACTAGAATTCCAATGTGTACAACTCATGTACTAATTTTTTTACATCAAACTGGCTAGACAGTGGTAAGTCACATTCCTAACCTATTACTAATCTCTCTATCGGTGTAGTGGGCTGTCGAGGTCACTCTCATGTAAGAAGCCAAAACTTGTGATAATTGTGGTGGATGTGAGAGGAACGGGTCTTAGGGGAAGATTCTACTCACAATTTTTGAGCCTCATGTAGGTTGGCTTGTCTTACGTTGGAGCCAGATGTGCACAAATTAAAAGAAGGTGGTAGATGCATTGGCTGAACCTGAGTTTTGGAGGGAGGAAGAGTGGAGAGGAAATCACTGCAGAGAGCATTTCCTTCTGATCCCATGAAAAATTATTCTCTTTTTGCCCTTAAGGCCTGTCTTTTCATATCCAGCTTTGTCTCGATCCTGCTCACACTGTTTACCCCCTCAGATTTTTCTATAAAACCAACTTGAAGAATTTTTTTTGAGAGTCTATCCCACCTCTTTGTTCACAGAAATAGTCAAAGATTTTCATGTTTCGGGGAGAAGAGAGAATGTCTGTTTCTTACTGTTGTCCTAAGTGTCTTAAGTACACCTACCCTGCTGCAACCAAAAGCTCTCACAGCTGAGATGATCTCATAAGCTGGAGAACAGGCAGAAATCAGCAATGGAGAAATGAGAGAAAGAGCCTTCTTTTAGTCATGCATTTTCTTCACATTAAGTGGTATGTTGGCTTGGAGCCTAGTCGTCTTCCTGGTGGAGATCTTCAGTGACATTCCTTTTTGCAAGCTTCATGCCCCTTTTACTAGCTGTGGGGTTCAGTGTTTGGCTTTGTGTCCCTTAGAGAAGATAGACATGTTTTTGTTGGCTCTGTTTTTTTTCTTTTCTTTTTGTGGGGGGTGAAGGGGCCGGTGTGTATATTTGCAGAGTCCCGAGACAGCAGCTTGGGAAGGCCACAGGACAGGCAGGCTGATAGAAGAGCTCTTTGTTTTCATTTAGGGCTGCAAAGTAGTTACACAATATCATCAGAATTTGTATGCTTTAATGCTTGTGTTTAATGTTTTCAAAGTGTTTTTCTTGTCTTACAAGTGGAAAAAAAAAGTGATTCATAGCCATTTTACAATGACTTCAAGCAAAATGCCACACCTCTAACACAAAAACACAGCTGGTTAACTTCTGGGCAGTTTTCTGGCCTGTAACAGTGTCTTCTTCATTCCTGTGGACCCAGAAGTGGCAAGACTGGGTCTTTGAGAGTGATTCTGGTTTTTATTTATTTTTGTTTGTTTGCTTGTTTTAAAGTATGTGTGTTCATACAGTTGTTTCATTTGCTTGATATTCATCCGTCCATCTGCCAAACAAAATAATTACATGTAAAATTCTAAAGTTTGTTGCCCAAACCTACTGATTGTAACCAATTTGCCTTTTAGTTCCTAGATACTCATCCTTTACTCTTCCTCTTTTTTTTCTGTTTGCTATTACTCTGTCTTTTTAAGTGTGTTTCAGATCAGTCCTTTCTTTCCATGTTTGCCACCCGAAGTCTGCAAATTAACAAAATAAAACTTGAGGGAGTGGGGTATTCCCTTCTTTAAATGTCTTTTCCTGTTTGTCTTCCCGTTCTTCTGACTTCAGAATTTGTGTTTTAGTCTTTTTAGTATCTTTTTCCTCTTCTAGTGATTGTGGACCAATACAGTTTTACTGCTTTATATTCTAAAGTTGTTGAGCTAGCTGACCCTTCTATTATGGCACATGAAAATACGGGCTAAACTTGAATTTCCTTGAATGTAATGGTAGCCTGTAACTGCTGTGGCGTACAGATCATAGAACGATATTGGCTGGATTCGTTTCCATCTGCTGTAAATGGAGCAGCACAGATGGCGGGGTTACTACCTGCTAATGAATGTAAAAAAACTCTCATGTTGGCTGGATGGAAATCCAGAATCTCAGTGGGCCTTTTGAGCAGTAAAGCAAGTCTTTAAGCATCTAGTTTTTTTTTTTTTAAAAGGGTGTTTTAGTTATCAGTTTTGACTTTACATCTTAAACAGAGGAGTAGTGAGAGACACAAGAAGATGGAATTCCATGTTATCTCCCTGTCTTCTCTTTGGAAGCAGATTGCTTTCTTGTTGTAGAGCAAGATGCTACTAAGGCAGGAGTCAAGGTGTGAGTACAACTACAGTATCCTTAATTTTCCACAATCTCGGTGGAGTCTGTCTTCCTAAAAGGAGTAATACAGGGGTTGCTTGAGTTCATATGATGCCCGTCTTCCGTCCCTTTCTAGTAGATATTCTGACGAGAAAGGAGAACCTGAGACAGTGTAGTTGAATCATTCCGTTCTTCTAGTACCTCCTTAATATTTGAGTAACAGTCAGTACTTCAAAATAAACCTTTTTTCTTTCTTTTTGAGATAAACTTGCGAAAGTCTTCCAGCATTTTCTGAGCATTGAAAGTTAAATGCACAACTTAGTGACAAAATAATGGCAGCATTTGGGAAAGCATTTCTCAGTGTTTATAAGTTCTTTGTGCTTATGATTTTATTTACTTCAGAACAATGGAGATGTTTCTTAGGAATGTATATTGATGTGGTTCTTTTTGTAGTCTGTCTTGTGGAAAACAATGATACTCTTTTCCCATTTCTTTTTCTAAAATTTTGTTATTTGCCTACCATAAAAGTCTGTATTTATCTCTTTAGGAGACTTGTAGTCTATGTGACAGATCCTGAATGATATCTCTTTCATGCAGATGGTCTTGAAACAGAATAAGATTGAGAGAATATTTAGGATGGTTTCCTCTGAGTATGAAAATAAAAAATGTTCACCTTGAAAAAATAAATTCTTAAATTGTAAAAGACCTTTTTGGAATTATGTCTATCTGATACTTTAAAAAATAACAATCTTTGTTTTGTTTAGATTAGGGATGGGGATAAGAAAAACAGAACACCTTAAAATGCCCCAAAGAAAATTCTTGGCTGCAAAGGCTGTAACAAACTTAGAAGGTGCTTGTTTCTTACAGGAAAAATCTCTTTTTAAATCATCAGGCAAATGATCATGGCATTACCTTAATAAGTATGAATTTCTGCTTTGAATTTTGGCACAGATGTTTAGGCATATAAAACTGAAGAGGGATTGCTATTATAAGGAATAACGTGAATGATGCAGCTTTTCATTAATAAAAATTGCTAGTATTTCTGTATATTAGGTGCTAAGTTAATGTGAAAATTTAGGTTAAGTGCTCCAAAGAGTTGCTGGGAGGATCTGAGAGAGATGTGCCAGAGTTGACTGTTGCTTAAAAATGATTTAGGAGGGTTAATCCGTTGTCAACCAACTGTGTTCAATTGCTGTTGTCTAGGGGATGGTGGTCTTAGAAGAATTCCCATTTCCAAAAGACATTTTGAAGAAGCAAATACAATTGAGAGATCAAGAAGCTTTATTAAACGCCACAGGGAATTCGCAAGCTGCCATTGAGAGACGGGATTCTTTGCCGGAGCACGATTTTGAAATGTCACCCAGCAGTCCTACCCTGCTTTTACGAAACATAGAAAAACAGGTAAAGTAAAATGAGAACAGAAGGTCCATTGGAGCAAAGCGATTTATTTCAGAAATAGGCAGGTTCTGTGCTGATTACTTGCAGAAATGAAGGCATTTCATATTTCAGACACCTGAGAGCAGGGGCTGGTGAACTGAATCACTTAAATACATTAGGCACCAGGCTTACAAATTAACCTTTCCTTTCAGATGTATCTGGCTTGCTGCTTTGATTATATCAAAGTGTCCACATAACCACATATGTAATAGGCCAGCAAAACTACCTCTCCTTTACAGTTGCATTCAGTGTAGTGTTACTACAGAATGTCTTAGGAAATACTTGGTTAAAATAAAAGAGTACAGCTGAAGACAGAGGTACGTAGCATTTAAAAGCAACCAAACAAAAATCCCACAAATGCAATTGCAATGTGACCTTTTCAAGCATCAGTGGAGCCAGGGCCATTAGCCATGTCCTACTGCCCTCACCCAGCGCAGGCGAAGCTCTAGCAGCGCCTTGCTTTGCGGAGCTCTGAACAGTCCTTTCCAAGGTTAATTCCAGGAAATGCAGTGTCCACTGTGGCAGGGCTCGGAAGTGCTATGAACAATTAGCAGGATCACATTACTGAAGGAGATGGAGCAAACCTGTTTTCAGAAGCAAAAGCAAGTGTAAATCATACCTCATGAAGCTGGTGAGGTGCATTAGTGCGTTACTGCCCTGCTATATGTAAAGTCTTGGTCACACACACAGTCTTAAAATAGGTAAAAGTAACTTCAGGTATTATACCTGTTCCTGAATCTCTGTGCCATTTTTTTTAATTTCATAGTCATACTTTTCTGCTCTTAAAGTGCTTCTGCTGTTTGATAGATCTTAAGTGTAACAGATAGAAGTGAGGGGGCAATGAAACAGGGCATGTATGTGCTCAGTGCTGGCAATTGTACAAGGCAAACTGGAAGTCATTTCTAGACTGTAGTGAATGCAGCCTCTTCAGTGATTGCTTGGAGAATTAAATACGTATTTATTTGCAGAAGATACTAGTCAAATAAGGAAAAAGTAGTGTGCTTCCTACCACCTAAGTAGTTTACAAGCAGATATCCAAGCATTTTGCTTTTGATAAAGATTGGGGAATAAAGTTTTCTTTGGGAATAAAGATGTTCTTTGGATAAAAGATCTAGCAAATTACATCTGTTTCCCCTGCTTTACAGCACCAAAAACTTTGGGGCTTAGTTTGTATTTTAACGACTGCCTCTGTGGCTCAACTTTGATGCAGAAGGACCAGGTCTGGATTGCTTCTTGTTTATTGTTAGAAATAATGATGCCATAAGCCAAAGTACATCTGTACTTTGTTCTTCCACAGTTCTTGACTCCTATGTTAAAGTGTTTCTTAAACAGCTTATCAGGGGAAGAAAAAAAAAAAGATAAAAAATACAGAGCAACTAAGCTTAGTCATTTGTTTGTTTATTTATTTATTTTTAATTCGGTTTTCAAGTCCTTTCCAAAGCTGTAAAATGCTTTTTAAAAAACACATGTTTTTCCTTGTTTTTTGGATGTCTGCCATTGTTCTGGTGCTTGTACATTCCTTTGACAGAGGTTTTGTTCCTCACAGATTGAACACCATTTGAATTTTTTCATCAATCCACTAAATCTTTTCCTTGAATCTTGTTTGCTTTGTTTCAGACCTTTTATAATTGACTTGCTATTTCTGTCCTTTGATATCCTTCCTTGAATATTTTATTAAAACACGAAATTTTTGCTCCACTGCATTGCTTAAACATTAACAGAAAAGACGTGACTAATAATAAAATAGAAAATAATCTTTTTGCTTTTTTCTGCATAAATTATACAGAACTACCTGCTGGGTAGCCTTTATTAACTCTTGTTTTAAGTAATCTCAACTCTTTCTTGATAATCCTACAAAATAATGTAAATGTTTTAAAAAATGTGTATGCCACTTTGGGTACATTCATGCAGTTGGCAGTTTCCTCTGAGTAAGCTAGTGGCTCCATTTATTGTCAGACTGGCTATTGAGGTTTAACATTTAAAACAAATCTGGAGCTTTTCCACAATTCATCGCTTTATAAGGAGTAATTCTTTGTCTTAACAAATGAGCTGCATTTGCTTTGAGGCAATTCTGAAAGCCCAGGCTTTGGGGGAGGAGGGTGGTGGTAGGGAGGGTTTTCAGTGCCATTTCTGAGGACAAGATTTTTTTTGGCCATTCTGTCTGCAGTTACAATGGCTCTCACATAGTTACTTTTATAAAACCACTTTTATCAACTACAGTAAGCAGCGAAAATGATTCTTCTAACCAGAAAATTACTCTGAGGCAGCTAAGTGAACAATAAGGAGACAGATATTTTTCCTTTTGATATGATCTGTGAAAGGCCAGTTATCAGCTCTGAGCTGCAGCTGTTGTAACATCAGCTGTAAAAATGTTCTGGTTTCTGCAGCCTTTTTAAAAGTCTTTTGTTCAAATACAAAAATCACTAATGTATTTTGTATGCTGCTTACCCAAATGTCTAAAATATGTCCTTGGCTGGTAGTTCAGCTTTTTTTTTTTTTTTTTTTTTTTTTTTTTTTTTTTTTTTTTTTTTTTTTTTNTTTTTTTTTTTTTTTTTTTTTTTTTTTTTTTTTTTTGGTTTTGTATAGTTGTACATAATTGTGAAAGGAAAAAATATGCCATCCTTGATTATTTACAAGCAGAGACTAAGTATGATTATTCGTGCGCAAGCCTGGGATTCCAAGCAGGAAAAGCAGAACAAAACCCCAGTTTTGAGCTGTTCAGTCTGACTACCTTTTTCCTCTTTTTTCCCCTTGTTTCAGAGTGCGCAGCTGAGTGAAATCATCAGCAGCTTGATTGCTCCACTCAATCTGTCCCCAGCTTCCTCTCCTCTTTCATCCAAAACTTGTAGACACAGACAGCTGGTCAATGGCATCTCCTTCAGGTAGGTGACAGTATGAGACTTAGCCTAAGGAATACGACATTATTTCCAGAAAAGTAACTGAGTCTTTATTAGATGAGTAGAGTACACATGCAGTGTTCGCTGTGCCTCAATGTGGGTCGGTACGTGTGTGCCAGCTTCATTAATTTTAAGCACAGCTTCAGTAGGAAGCAAATTCTACTGTTGTCAGCTACTTTTTCAGTAATTTTGAGAGTATTTTTCAGCTTTTGGTATTCTGTTATGAATGCATTTACTTGCCACAAAGACTGTAGAAACTTAAGAACAATACTGTAGAAAAACTATTTCTCAGTACTGTTCCACACTTGTTAATAAGAGTATCTTTCACTCAAAGACTTTAAAATACAGCACAGACCATAATCAGTGTTAGTCTTAAAACAACATTAAGATAATTGACTACCATGCTGCTGCCTTCTAAAAGGCCTGGGCATGTAGACTGTTTCTCCAGAGATATTGTTAATGTGATTTGGGGAGTGGAGGGGTTGCAGAGTTATTCATAGGTCTTGATTAAGATCAGGTGGATGAAGAGTCGGCTCAGTGTCCGCCGGGCTGGGCGGTTCAGAGCCGCGGCTGCAGCACCACGTAATTCCCTGGCTCCCAGCACCACCAAGGGCTCAGGTGGCCGCGCCGGCTGTTTCAGCAGCTTTGCTGCCGGAGCTTCCCGCGAAGAGATTATACTGAGCAGCTTGGGTGGGCAGCTTCCGTAACTGCCGTCTGCTCCAGCACCCCAAATTTAAGGATAAAGGGGGTCCTGTCCTGTCTTAGTCATGTTACTGACATACCTCTTATATAAATAAGGTAGAGAAAAAAATAGAAGATTCAGTTGAGTCTTAGGATAAAAATAGGACTGAAATAGGAGTTGCAGTTAGAGAAGGCTGTGTGGAAGGAGAGAGGTGTTTAGGGTCATAGAAAACTGTGTCTTGGATCTGTAACCTCTTATGAAGCAAATGGAGAAGATGTTGCTGCTTTTAAATGTTTTTAGAAGTGTATGAAGCAGACTTCATGGTACAGGACTCTAGTGATGTCCCTTCAGGCCACTTCACTGCTTTACCTTCCATTGGGAGTTTAAATACTGTGTTTCTTTCTCACACCTTTTGAGAATTTTGAGAAAAATTTGCTGCTGTTTGTTGTTGGTAAAGATCATGCTTCAGTGTTTTATGACTTCTTGGTGCTTACTAATGTTTCTTTAAATACTTGGTACTGTTCTTTTCATTAGTACCTTTTCTACCCCTCACTAGATCAGCTTCACTTTGTGAGTGTTTCTGTTGTGCCAAGAAGCTACCTCAAATTGATGTCCATAAAACATAATTAGCACAACAACACAGCATGCAGTGGTGCTTAATCATGCTTTTGTAACAATTGCTTCTAATTAATAAAATGTCCTGTTAGCAGATAGCTATTTATGAAGAAAGATTGATAAATGATATTGTAATGAAACATAAAAACAAATGTATTATATAACTTTACTAAGTGCTATCGTCAACTGTGACTTACCAGATAAATTAATGGGAGAAAACAAACTATTCATGCAGGTAGGTTACCTGTTATTAGCCAGCAAGTACCGTATATACCTGCATTTCTCAGGCAGTTTAGTGCTGCAGTTAAGGTCTTTAGTGCTGCACAGATAAATGCACACTTGAGGGCTTTTTTGCAGCAAGCTTTTAGCCTTGCAGGCAGATGTTGCTACAGCAACGACGTAAAGTCAGGACAACTGTAAAAATGAAATGTATTCTTCCCGTGGAGTCATTCCCACCCAAATGGAGGGTGTTTTGAATTCTTATCTTGCAACGAACCTTGTTCTGGTGAGCAGACAGTCTGTTTGGCAAGAGTAATGCAAGCTGTTATGTGTTCTGGTTTGGGGTTTTTTGTTTTTGCCTTTTTTTCTTAACTGCTCTTGGCTCTGTTTTGGCAGTTAAGTCCTTTTGTATTATTAAAGACATAGTTTTGAGAAGCGTATATGTTGCTAAGGTGGTTAGGGATGATGATGTGATAGTGAAGGGGATTTTAAGGTAATAGATTTGGGGAAATCCAGGTATGACGGAGGCTCCGTGCGAACATGTAGCTTTGCATGTGTTTAGGTAAGACAGTGCCAGTGTTTGGAACTGAACCTAACTTCTTGTAAATCATCTGGCTGCAAGCAGCTGCCAGGAAGTATCAAATACATTTACTGAGCAAGGCAGTTTGGGGCATTTCTCTAGAAATCAAATTTAATGGCCTTGTGTTGTTTGAACTGAATATGCAGAGGTTCTACTTTTGAGAGAATTGTGAGCAAGAGTGATAAACTTTATTCTGTGGCATAACGTGGAACTAAACAAAGAACAAACAGAGCATATGTGTGATTTCCTGAAACAGTGTGCTAAATATTGTAGTGTTTATAAAATTCTTAGATGGCTAACATTGGTCAGTGCTTGAAAGCTGTATCTGTGCATGTGGAGCATATATAACTTCTTGGGTTCCTCCCTCTGTTAATTATGACATTGCAGAGCTTCAGACAACAGAGAAGTATCGTCTTCGAGTAGCTGGTTGCTTGATCATCAACACATCAAGAAAAGAAGAAGAGACAAGACCAGATTAAGATCGCTGTCTGTGACTAACCTGAGCACATCTGCCCGAACGAGGCCACTTCATAGTTTCCAGAAGAGGAAACTCTACAGAATGCCCGGGGCCTGTTACTGGAGTCAGCAGGTGAGCCAGGTAGCCCAGCTGTGAGAGCCCGTGTGTGCCTGTCTGCTGCTGAGCTGGGTATTTGTTCCGCTCGGGAGCTGGGGGTCTTTGTGCAGGAGAAACAGCTGTGTCAGCAGGAGCTCAGAGCTAATGAGTTGAACATAAAGATTGCTTGGAATCCTGCTCATCAGATGGGTTTGCTGCATGGCTGTCTTCAACGTCTTTTTGCCTGCTAAGAGACTACTTAAAAGCTTTCTTTGAAGGCTTGACTGCTGAGGAAACGTGCTGCAATGTAAGTCTGCTGCCTGCTTTTTTTAGAATATTTGTTTTAACTACAAGAGAGTTTACACAGCTGGTGGCACATTATTTTCTAGGAAATTAAAGTGCAATATCTTAATCTTGTTTCCGTTTTTGCCATTCCTGATGAGGTATATTGCCTCTTTCATAACATTTTATGAATGCTTAAAAGTCTTACAATTTTGTGCACTGCAAAGGAATTAATGTTTTGCAGTGGAAGAAAACATTGTGCAATGTGCAACGTGAGGCTTTCATTCTAAGGCCTTGTGGAAAGGTGTGCACTGGATGCACTGCAGTTACTGCCACTTCTGCAAACTGGCACACAGACCTGCAGTTATGTTCTGCTTTGTAGTGTCCTCTCCACAGGGCTGTTATCCGAAGGGACTATCCTGTCTCTTCCGTAGTCCTGCTCTTGGTTTCCTGACTGCTGAGGAGATTGCTCGGCCTGTAATGGAAGAGCTCTGGCCGTCAGCCCAGGCTGACGCCGCTTAGGCAGATTTGGAAGGACAGGACAGCAAAACAGGGAACAGCCTCTGGGTTCGGGAGCTCTTTTCCTTTGAAGATGCCTTTATACTCCCAATATATTCCCGCATGTTTCCTTTCCTCTGGGCTTAGATGGAAAAGGTTGTTTCTTCTTAGCAGGATGGAAAGTAGTTGGATTTGTGAGGTAATGTTATTATGCTGTCTCTAGCAAATGCTCCTCCCATATTTCCTCTAGTTCAGGATATTTATATAGCCCTTGGTGCCATACTGTGCAGGGACTCGCTTGTCTTTAAGGGACTTCATCTAAAGCAAGCAGATGGGGAGGAAAGAGAGAGCAGTTTGCTGAGATCTAGGGAAAAGACAGAACCTCCTGAGCATCCCAGTTCCTGTGCGGTCTCCTCACGCGCCCGCCCCGAGATTCAGTGCCAGGCTTGCTCTGAGGAATTTGTTATTTTGGGAGAGAGGAGAGTGTACGTACACTTCCTCACATAACGGTATTCAGAATTTTGTGCTTCACATCCCTTCCAGCATCTTTGGAAGCTGATTTTTCACTCTGTCCCATCTCATCCCCCCAAATCCATGTTAGGAAGAGACAAGTATGAAACTGGGAGCTGTTATCCCATCTGTTGGTTCATAAGGTCACTGGGAAGAGTGCCACATTTCTTTCCTCTCTCCTGCCATGCTGCATACATTTACCATACTGTCAGAACTGAGCAGGGGTTGACCCAGTAGCCTCGCGGTGCCTCTTGCAAGATGCCCTGTATTGTCCTTCACTTTGCTGTATTTCTTTTCCAAAGACTTCCCATAGTCCTGTATGTAATGCTTACTCTGAGTAGCATCTACAAGAAAACACAGAACCTGGGCAAAAGGCAGATGCAAAAATAAATAAATCCCTGCAGTTGATGTGAAACTCTAGGAGACCTGCTAGGTCAACACAATGTCTATCCCATGGTGGGGATAAATAAAACGGGATGCAGGGTACTTACCTGCAGCACACTTTGGGGCCAGATCCTCTTGTCCTCTAATGCAAAATGACTGAGGAGTGGAGCTGTCCTTGGGCTGGGGGATCTGTTTTGTGTCTTTTCCAATATCAAAATAGCTTTGTAGAAGCGTAAGGCCATTTCTTGATCGTGAGTCAGTGCACAAGCCACTCTCAAAATAATCCATGCACAGAATAAGCCTCGCAATCGCCATGTGTTGCACAATAGAAGACACAACTGTAGTTGGGCATTTTTGGCGTGATTTTTGTGAATGAATATTAAAAACTCACATGCAAACTAATGCAAGGGAGTTCCCTGCGGGCACACATGGGTAGGGGAACTTGCACTGGCCAACAGGGCTGTGAGCCAGGGGTGCTGTGTGTGAAATACTGCTACACGTGGCGTGATGAACAGCCTCTGGGTTGTTGAAAAGTGCATGTGATTTCATTTTAAGATTAAGACAGAGGGCAAAGGAGCATTAAAACCAAGTAATTTTGTGAGTAGCAGCTTGATCTGAGGACTTCAGCATGCAAAAAGTCACAAGCTCCAGTCTTTCCCACATTGTTTGCATTACTACAACCCTTCCACCCACTGTGGATACCCCAGTGCCTAGGAGCTCCTCCAAGTACTTTTTTTCTACAATGAGAACTTGTATATCTGTACCTCTAGCTGTTTTTCCTGAAACTTGAAGGAATCCAGTTAACTTTGAGATCACAGAACTTAGGTTGAGTTTGCTTAAAAGCAGCCAACGGATAATAGAGTTGTTGCTGCTCAGACTGACAGGGATCTTTGCTTTTTTTTTAGCAACACGGTTTGTTTTGCCAATACGTTGTGATAGGTTATTATACAGTATCCTAACTGGAGACACTAGTTTTATTTCTTTTGCTCAGTCTTGCTTCACTGAGAGATGTCACTCAGGCTGGCTTATCAAAACATTATACAGCTATAAACAGCTGTAAACAGTAATAGGGAAGTGAAGTCTGGACATCCTCACGTTTGGTCCTGTCCTTTGCCACGGTGAGGAGCACAGTGGCGTTTCCATCAGAAAATTCTCCCTGCATTCTGCATCCCCACCTGCTGGAGGAAAACGTGGGTATGTGGCCTGGGGCACCAAGCTGGGGTTCAGATCAGGAGTGTCCCAAGGCCTTGGTATCTTGCACAGGGTGCACCACATTGTGTTTAAGATACCCCAGGTGAGCAGTTGGGATGGTGCTGCCTGCTCTTGCAGTTGAGTATCAGCGTGTTTTTTTTTTCTCATTGAGTCCAGTCGAAGCATTGAGTGAGAGAGTAAGAATCTGCTTCCATTCAGTGTTGTTGTTTTTCTAGCTACTATAATTAAATTCTAGGGTTGGAGTTTTTTACTTTAATTTCCATGACAGTTCTATGATTCATTGTTTTTGTGTGTGTCCTGCTACTTTCTTAGTGCATGCTTAGGGATGGATTTTAGATGCCCTGTGATAATGGCATAAGGGACTCTGACAACAAAGGTCAAGTCTTTTTGTTTCTAGGGAAAAGTGTATTTTATATGATAGGTATTATACCCAGCATAGTGGAGTCTTTATGTTTGCTGAAAGTCCATTACCAGCAAACGACCACAGTTAGCCCCCAGAATGGCAGGGAATGAGAGTGCTCTTGCTCTCATGTCCGGTGAGTTGAGTTTCTCAGGTTTCTTCAGTTACATGTACTGCTTATGTTTTACGTTCCCAGAGAAGTGTGTGTACAGACATGAACTTAGTTGGAGCATATTTGAGAGCAGGCACCCCACTTCCTGCCAGGTGATGTATTTGCTAGGGAGTCTCTATAAAAAGGGGAAACACTTCCACAGCCTGCTACCCAGGAAGTAACCTCTTTTCATCGACTCTTTTCCATATTGTAGCTCTCTTGTATCTGAGGAGATACAGGTGAGGTTTCTGTGGCTGTTATCAGGTAGTGCTTTCTCTAGTTTACTCAGTCTGTAAATTTAAAATGAAAACCAAAAACCTGACACCCTCTAGGGCAGTAACTGGCAAACATGTTATTCCATAGCCAGCTCAAGTTTAGCCTTTCACATAGTGAAGCAGCCGTTTCCCTTAGTCGCACTCAAAGAAGTCTGCTGGTTTTCATCCCCCTCCTTGTTATCCCTAGATATTGGCTCCATCACCTGCTTCTGCAAAGCTTCTTGGCATAGCCACCCTCAGAAAAGCAGTGAATATAAGGAATGTTGCTGCATTGCCAGGGCTCCTGCAGGCTGGTTTTGAGGCGAGGATGCATCCTGCTGCAGTGAGAGGGGCTGGGTGCCCTTGGGGATAGGTCAGTCTCCTGGGCTGGAGAGGAGTAATAATTGAGAAAATTCCTGGTTTACCACTGAAAGTCTTTTTTAATCTTCTTTTACTAAAACACCTATTCTGAAAAGCAAATTCCCGAGCATCCAGCCATCCTGAAGGCAGGTGAAGACTGTGATGTGCTGGGGAAGAAGGCAAGGGGAACACCTCTCATTTCACAAGACTTGAGGTATTGATGGGGCAGCTGAGTCCAGCCTCTGTAGGAGTTCATGGAAAACTAATTAATCCAAAGTGAGTTTGCTTTTTGCTGAGTGATGAGCCTCAGTCTGTTCTCCGCAGTCCTGTCGCAATAGCTCATTATAATGTTTTGCTGATCACATCTACAAAACATCTCCCTGTGGCTTAGAAAGGCTTCCTCCTTTTGGTTTGTTTAGCTGGTCAAAGATTAAGCACTTACTTTGATTTCCAAGCAGTTTGCAAGTTGAAGAAAAGGGCTTTGTCTAGGATGTTTAACACAGTGAGCATCTCACAGAGGAGGTGAAATCCATCTCCCAGTGCCTTAGAACAGGCCTGAAGAAACAAAACTGCATTTCTACTTGTGCAAGGTGAATGACCTGTCAGAAAGGTAGAAGTTACCGAGCCTTTTATGATACCAAGATTTGTCTTTGAGGCAAGCTGAGTGCTCAGCAAGTTGTCATTAATATTTTACAAAAGTCATATTCTCTCCTTTCTGTTCATGGATAAATGAGTCTCTGCCCCAGGATCTGTTGGTGCCACCGTTGATTATCAAGTCTAAAACAGGGCTACTCTTGTACTTTAATGTAAAGATTGCACACTTCTGTTTTCCTCTTAAATACAATGTATTTTCTTTTCCGTGATGGCATCAATATAGAGTAATGTTATTCCCCATATCTGCCCAAGCTCAGGAAGCACGAGGTTTGCAATTTCAGTGGGGAAGAAGAAAGATTCAGGAGATAGGTGCAAAGTCTAGCATAGCAGAGGGAAGCTCGGTAAGAGCTGGCTGCCCCAGGGTTTATTTTTGAGGGGTGATTTTGTCCAGCCCTGTGGCAGACTGTTCCAGGCTAACGTGGAAGCTGGCAGAGCTGAGTTTTCCAATGAACAAACCTTCTGGTTTTATTTCAAGAAGGTGGAAGCACTTTCTCAGCCTCAGCAATATGCTTTCATTCCAGAATGAAGTGCTTCAGTACTTCATCATCAGTATTCCTGAGAACCATCAGGTTGACTTCCCTAATTCAGCATTTTCCAGTTCCCCCTCAGAAAGGCAAAGTCCCAGCGCTAGTAGCTGGGAGCACAGACCCTGCCAGCTTGTTTAGCTCCTTTCCAGCAATTTCGCAGGCTTTTAAAATCAAATGCATCTTGCTTCAGTATAGAGCCCTGTTTTCTCTTGAATGATGAACTGACTTAATGAAAGATATAATTGTATAGAAATTGATGCCAGAGTATTTAAGGAAATAATGTACAAATTTAAGCACAGTTTCATAACTTCCACCGCAGACTAAATGAGGATAAGAATTGGGTATTTATAAATGTTGGCAATTGGTTTTTATTACTGTTTCAAAATAGATTGAGACTGTGGAGGCTCTTTGACCATAGCGTGCGTGTTTTGGAGCAGGCTTAGCTTTGAGCTAAATGTGTTTGGGAATAAAGTGAAGAAAAAGCAAGTCAGAACTAAAAGACTGGATGTCAGTATATGTTGGTATGAGCTCTTTGGGTTTTCTCTTTTAAAGATGAAGATTTATGATTTCCTGCAATGTGGATTCATCTCTGTTTTAGAGAAAAGCCTGCACACATAAAAACAAGAACAGAAAAACCCTTCAAGCACGGAGGGGCAATAGCAACTTAACTTGTGGGCCTTGGGGAGATGGGTTCATTTCTGAAGAAAAACAAGCTCCAGAGAAGGAGCTTTGAAAAACAAAGTCTTGCAGTATTGAAGGTAGAGTGACTTCCGGAAAGCTTTGTTCGATCTTTAGTTTATTGGCCCATAAAGTGGGAAACATGAAATTTGCTTTCAAATTTATCCTTCCAGTGTCCAAACACAGGTCCCTGTTTTTCCAGCACCTCATAGATGTTTGAACTCAAACAGCTGAGCAGTCTCATACATCTGTCACAGGAAACACCCAAGCATTGATTTGAAGGAGTCCTGGACTAGAAAAAGGCTCTTTCCAAATGCACTTGGAAGCATTCCCTTGTAAACCTATATTTGGGGATGAAAGTGGATTTAAGGCTGTTAGTGATTCCTTTGAACAAACTGTGAAATACAGACTCCCACCACACCAGGGGCTCTCCTCTGCTCCAGCTCCATAACCTGCTATTTACACAGTTTTTATAGAGGCTGCAATCAGATAGCAGCTTAGGGAATGCTTTGGTTGAGAAGGAGGGAAGAGGACACTTTTATGGGATATTCTCTGGCTTGCAATGTGGGTAGTGAAGACGATGCTCCCTGAGAGGAGCTCTGGTTTCCGCAAGGAGCGGGGTGGTAGGTTGTGGGTGGGAGCACTGTGTCACTGATGGGTGGGTGCCAGTGCTCTAGTGCAGGCAGGAAGAAGCAGCTAAAGCGCTTTCTTAGTTTCAGAAGGTAGAATTACTAAAAAGACAAGTAGGGTTTATTTGATCATCTTGCCTCTGTTGCAGCTCCTAGCTAGTTTCATTCCATAAGAACAGAAGAAAATATGAATTCTGCTGTCAGTTTTAGTGTTTCTTAAGCTGAAATCTTGTTCCAGGAGATGATGAACTTGCCAGTTAAGGCGATGTTGTCCCCCAGGTCTCATTCTCTCTCCCTTTCCTTACTTTAAGCTGCTTTGCAAACAAACGACTAAATTTGTCCTTCCTTGCAACTCTTCTCTGTCTTACAGTTCCTCTTAATATATATAAATCCTTGCTATACTATATTGCTCTTCTTATATATTGCTCTGTGTCTTTTTTGTTTGTGTTGCTTATCTGACATAAAAATTATAACATGGCAGGGACTTTGCCCTTCTGCTTTGTGTAAATATACTACGTACTCAAAATGTGTAATGTTGTGTCTTCCATTAAATTTTATAAGCTCAAACTGTCTAGAGATAGAGATACCAAGGAATTCAGGGCATCAAAGGGCATGAGCAGAGAAGACCCCTGTATTTAGTCTTGCGTTCATTTTGTTTGTGTATCTCTATTGTGCCTGTTGGACTGGACTAGGAATTTGAAGGCATGTTTGTTGGTGTTAGGATGTAACAGTTGGGAACAGTAACGTTTGGCCCTGGAAGTCTTGGGAGCTGTTTCCTAGCCACAAATAAAAGATGTTTCTTATTTTTAGTATTCTCTATGTTGGGTATCACAGTCTTTGAGGTATACGTGTGCCTATCTAGCTCAGCTCAGGTTTGTGGGAATGCTTTTCCCGCTCACCATTCATAGCAAAGAATGTGCGCCCACTGTGCTGCTTTTTTTTTTTCTGGGCCAGTTTGATGAGCGTCAGCGTGAGTAAAGGAGAAGTCAACGTGTTGTCTCTTGTTTACCCCCACAGACTTTGCCATCTCGAGACGTCTCCTTGACATGTAAAACTCAGTTACCGTTTATGGCTGCGGCCTCCCCTTCAAGCCAGAGTGACAGTGCAGCATCCAAGATAGTAGATTATGTACAAGAGCTGGACTCTTCTTTCCATCCAGTCTTATCATTCCCTTCAGGTGAGTAACTCCAACTCCATGCCCCTAATGGAGGGTTGCTGTGTTAGTGAGAGTTCATGCACTAACTTTTCTTTTGAGTAATTTTATAATTTCTCGCTTAGGAAACTTCACACTGATGAAATATTTGACTTTAGACTAAATAAACATCTTACATGCATCCTGACTTGAAAAACACCTCCACTAGATTTTGGATTCCAGCAGGGTGTTTACAACCAAGAGAGCTTGGCCAGAGAAAACTTTCTGGTTAAGGTGGTTTTGCATGTTTCACAGTGTCCTGGTATCATGTGCAAGCACTGGCTGCTTAGGTCTTCTGTTCAGTATCGAGCGGAGTTTAAAGTCTAAAGAAGAAATAATCCTGAAAAATTTGACTGTAAAAACAAATTTCAGAGTTTTTCTGGCATGCTGAATATTTGAAAGCAGTTTCATGTTTCAGATTATTTCTAATCAGAGCAGCACAAAATAATTGGGGTTGAAAGATCTGAAGATGTGTCCAGCCCCCCCACCCCTGCTCAAGCAAGGTCACCTGGAGCAAGTTGCCCTGGATCCTCTCCAGTTGAGCCTTTTCTTCTCCAGGGTAAACAGTTCCAGCTCTCTCATGAGAGATGCTCCAGCTCCTTAATCATCCTAGTGGCCCTTTACTAGACTTAGTCCTGTAAATCTGTATCTTTGTGATACTGCCCCTTCCCTTTGAACTTCATGAGGTTCCTCTGCGCCCAACTCTGTAGCCTGTCCAGAGCGCTCCGAATGGCAGCCCAGCCCTCAGTGCGTCAGCCACTCCTCTCTGTCCTGTATCCTCAGCAACTCTGCATCTGCTCTGGTCGGCCAGGTCCTTGATGAAGCTGTCACGGTGTTGACCCCGGCACTGAGCCCTGGAGGGTGTCACTAGCGACTGGCCTCCAGCTGGACTTTGTGCCGCTGATCACAGCCCTCTGGCTCAGTGGCTGCTGCCCACTGAATGGCCTGTCATGGTTCTGATGTTTTCACGATCAGCTTTCAGTTCAGACTCTTTGCTGTAGGCCCCTAAAGCTTTTTCAATAATCTTTGAAGTTCGTCTTTTCTGAAAACTAGTTCTTTATATGTTTTTGAATAGTATTGCAGATGTTTTTTTTCTGCCTGTTCTTAGCTTGAAACTAGCACAGCTGACTTGACAATGCTCGAGATTTCAAAATAGCGCATTAAAGGCTGCTCTCAACAGAAGGGATTCCTGCTGCTTGATTTTTGCCTTAGGGAAAACCTATTTTCAGGTAGTGGTTGACCAGCACAGGAGCCCTGCGATACTGCAGAGGGCTTTTCCAAGTAAAGTAGAAAGAGAATTGGAGGTAATCTAGTAATGTGGGGCAGCTGGATTGACTGACCAGGGTTCTTGCCTCTGGAATTGTAACTGTCCTTGCATTTCCAAGACTTCCTTTTGGAGTTTCTGCTTCTCTGCAGAATTGCAGTTGGTATCTAAGAGCTTTGGGAGACGTTTCTGGTATTTTTCTATATAGCCCATGGTTTAACTGGAGCAAACACTCCTGCCATTTTAATGAAGATGTGGGAGCACATAATAAACAATCTCTAAAACATTCAGGTGATTTCCCCCTGAAAAGCATTCCCCACTGATAAAATATTTTTATTTCTTAAAAGCTGTGACTGATTCACCTTTCAAGCTTTCTTCATGTTTCATAGAGATGTAGAAGAGCGAAAGAGCCAAAAATCTTGGGTGAATAAACCCCGTTGCAGGTCATTTTTAGTCCTGTGACCAAGTATCTGGCTAGATCAATATCAAAGTGAAATAATTTGTTCTTTGTAGTTCACAAGCACATGAGTCTAAGGTGGTATGTCAATAACAGTGGTTTCATGCCTCCCCATTGGCCTTGCGCTCAGTCCCTTTCTCATTTGGAATTTAGTAGCTGCCAAGCCTGCAGTGCTTACAAGGATGAGGATGTGTTGCCTCTTAAGGTCTCTTGCTAATGGAAATGAGCAGTTTTTACCTTCAGGCAATTAATTGAGATTATCCTGCACAGTAGTTGTCAGTCTTAGATACCTGATAGAAACTACTGTGGGTGCTTTGTCTACCATAGAGGAAAGCTCAAATGCAGTAATCACCTTGCTGAGATTTTTTTTTCATTTACACATGCACAATCATATCTCCAACGTGTCTGGTTTGGCTTTTTTGAGATGCTGTGATTAGGCTTTCCACATGACCCACTCCATTTTCAGCTGTCCCTCCTGTATTGGCTCCAGCTGCACTGAGTTATGTTGTTGCTGCCATACGGGCAGGTCTGTCCTCTTGGGATTTACTCTGCTCTGCTCTCCTTCAGGATCTGAGGACTCAAGGCAGCTATATTGCACGTGAAGAATATTACATAACTTGGCATAAACTGACTCCTATGCATTTAGCAGCGATAAATAATTCACTGTTTCATAAGTAGCTGTCATTCTCATAGATGGTTTTGTTTGTTTGTTTTTAGATATTCCTCTTCATGTGTATTTTGAAACGTTGTTAAGAAAGGATGACGTTAAAGGAGAGTCTGCTGATGCAGCATCTCCGGGGACGGACCTTAAAATGTCTCCACACAATGGTATGTAAGGCAAAATTACTGTTATGTTTGCAAGACTGATTTCAGTTAGTTTTATAACATTTCCTGCCCTGAAGAAGTTAAGGTTTATAAACTACCACAAAGCAGACTTTTGGAGGAGGTGAACGGGTACGGGGTTGGGAAGGGCATTGCCCTGCATCAGAGTAAAACATGTGTGTTCAGACTCTGGGCAAATAAAAGGTAAGGAAAATGAACACTATATCCACTGTACAGTCATCAGTCAGAGGTGAAAGTGTATTCTTGAACAAAATCAAAGTATCTGAGTTTGAGCTTGGTTCACAGTGTGGGATTGTACCATTCTAGTTGGTTTTATTACCAAATAGACTAGGGGAATAGGAATGTAAGGGTCCCTCTCGGGTGTCCGTGCAGTGTGGTGGGAGGAAATGCCAGCCCACTCGCAGCATCAGAATCTCACCAGGGCCCTGGTGCAGCAAAGCACTTGGGCTCACGGATGCGGTTGGTGGGGTTGGACAGGTGGGTCCTGCCCCATCAGGGCAAGTGAGGTGACATCTGGCTTTGGAGAAAAGAAATGGGAAGGGTCTTACGGCATGGAGACCTTTGTAGGCTAACTGACTGACTTGCCACTTTGCTAATTTTTTGATTACACTGGGGCTGTTTCTTCATATTTGTTGTTAAGACAAAAGATTGAAAAAATATATTTGTCTAAATAGCGCAATAAAGTAATAGTAGCAGTAGAAAAGTGTGTTTTTACATACCATCTGTGACATCAGGTTTACATGGTTATAGGCTATAGCTTTTAGGATATTCTTACTCCCTTTCCCTCTTCCAAGCAGAGCTGGTGGTTTCTGGAGGTACCTTTGCTGTGGGCAGGTGGGGCAGCAGCAGCTTCCCCTTCATTTCACTGACCCAGGTCCACCAAGACCACAGCAGGGCACTGGTCCAAGCAGGGAGCATTTGGCCTGTGGGCTCTTTGCATGCGCAGCTGCCTGGTTGCTATAATATTTACTGTTTGGATTTCTGTTAGAAGTCTCTCAGGTTTTTCTGTTACTAATGCATCTGATGCAGATGGGCTGTAAACTGTCCTGGTGGAAAGTGAGTGTTCAACTTGCTACATGCTATTTCTCTTGTAGACTATAGTCAACATCATGTTTCTCTCAAGCAATGGAGCAGTGACTCTTTTTATAATTCCAAGTGTCAGTCAGTGTCGGGAACAGCTGACCAGGTCTCAGAGGGAAGAAAGAAAAGGCACCTAAGTGAGACAGCAGTGGGTAAGACAAAAATGATGTTAAGATAGTACTATACTTAAAATACTTACTCTATAAATAAGTTTGTCACTCGGCTTTTAAGAATGATTTTTAAGTTATCTTCAGAAAGGATGCTGCCATGAAACTTCACAGGCATGCAGGAATGGACTTGCAGCACCATGAAAATAATGCTGTATTTCCAAGTGTAGTAATCCTTCTCTTTCTCCTTCAGTACATATTACAAAAGTAGACAAGCTTCTGTTGTTGGAATGCTCTTTAAGGAAACTGCTCAGCAGTCTGGCTGTGCTTTTTTTCTAGTGCCAGTTGCCATTATTATTTTTATTATTTTTTTAAAGTAGTCAGTGAAACAGACTGAATTGCTAAGTTATCTGTCAAATCATGCACTCAACCAAACATTTACTATTTCTGGACTCTTTGGTCAGCTGTGTTTCATTTGTTGTGTACTGTCATTTGTGGCTCTGGTTTCCTTCCAGACTGCTAAGAGGTCTTGTGGGTATCCAGTGTTTATAATTAGTGTTTTCACCCATGCTGTCTTTATAGTTCAAGCCATTGAATCTATACTTCAGTACTAGGTAAATTAATAGAAGCTGCCTTGAAAGCTCTGCAGAGCCACACAGAGTGATGAGATTGCTCAGGGACAGAAGAGTTGGCATCCCAGGGTAAAGAAAATGAGGATTTTACCTCTCTGTGCTACTGGAATCTAAAAGCCTAACAGATTCCATTGCAGATAAAACATGTGTTTGATTTTTTTGGGGGGATTGTTTTTTGGCAAAAGCCCCCATGAGAAATTTGAGCCAAATAAATTGCAGATTAAGAAAGAGGACAGAGGATTCTGGTATAAAATTTTCACTAAGAAATAAAATACATAAATCAGCACTGTAGGAAAATATGATATAAGTTAAGCTGGTGGTGTGATCTTGCAGTAGAGATGGGGGTATGGAAACTGCTGCTGAAGTGATTTTAGTGAAAAATTATGATGTACTTACAAAGAAACAAAAATACACTGATTAGAAAGCTCCCTCGCCAGTGAGAGGAGCAATGTGAGGTCTTCAGGAGTGCTAGTAAGAGATGAAACGTTTTGGAATAAACCTTTTGAAATTTTATGGCGTCTTCTGCCAGTGAAATTTAGCTCTTTAAGTTAACGGAGGAAAAATGTCATCTTTATCACGAGGATCGCAGACATTCGGGCATTTCCCCATGCCAGAAAACTGCTATGTGGTGTATTTGTGAGCAGCAGCTTATTAGTGCTCAGGGTGTAGTACTACATATTTATTCCTAATTTGGGCTCTGTCTAGGAGAAATTATCCATGGGGAAGGTCAGCCTGATGAACAAGGCCAAAAATAAAAGCTGTGTGCTAAGGAGCAGCAGAGCTGCCTCGGAGCAGAGAGCTCATGTACTTGACCCAGGCAGCATGGGATTTAGGATCCCTCCTACTGTTTTTTCATGCTAGAAACTGCTGATTCTTTTTATTAGTTTGTATTTTAACGTAGTTTGTCTTAAATTAGAGTTCCCTTTTCTTGCTGTAAATTAAGGATGATAGGAATGCAAGGCTAAGTTTAAAAGCTTGAAGTTTAGGAATCCCTCTAAATGCTGCTTACATGAGAATGGAGTTGGAACAGGCAAGAGTTGCCATTGACCTGGAGCAGTGAATAGGCGCTAGAAGAAATCCCACGTGGGAATCTAGAAACTGTCACCCTTGCTGCCAATTTGATTGTGTCATTTTTCCAAGGAAGAAACTGCCAGGGTTCAGGTAACAGTATTTTGGGAGGGGAGCCCCCATAGGGGAGCATTCCTGTAAGCTGGGCACCGTGGGTGCTGATGGTGGCAGCTTCAGTGGAAGAAGCAGGTCTGATCTGCAAGCTGCTTCCAAGAGAAGAAGTTCTTCTTGGAAGGAGAGGGACGAGTTTTGTGGAACAATGACAGGATGAGTAACAAGTGTTTATTTAGACAGCTTTTTTTAGTATTCATTAAATCTTAGTGGTTCGCTGTGGGCTTCTAGAAATGACTTTGCTGTTACTGTACGGAAAAATGTCTTCAGGATAATGGACAACAGTCAGTACGCATTTTGTTGTTGTTTTGTGACAGGCGAACATAGCACTAGGTTTGAGACGTTTTCCTTTCAACATGCAGAACCAGAATCCCACAGCAGGTTCGCTGCGGTGTCCGGCGTCAGTGCGATGGCCAGACCCACCCACAGCACTTCATCACAGGTAATCCAACCCAAAACTGTACTCATGTCTTAGAAGTCTCACCTTGGCTAGATAGACACAGCTGTCCTGGCTAGATAGCACAGAGCTGCTGGTTAATGCTTTGGTGTTGGAGCTTGCTGAGGAAGAGCAGAGCTCAGGTTCAGTGAGGTCCGTGTGGAAGCACACTGTTTTTCTCAGGCAGGCCTACAGATCTGCAAAGCCTAATAGCACACTGTTTCAATCCTGGAATGACTACCAGTTTTGTCTGCATCCTCCAGTTTGGATAATGCACGCTTTTCCTTATTTTCCCTTCCCTGAGCAGATCAGTGGAATTGGAATTCTTAACTGTATTAAACTGAAGAACCACTTGAGTTAAGGGTTAATGCATGGATGCTAGAAGACCTTATAGGAACAACATTATGAAAAAGGTAGCTTTAAATTAAAAGTTCTCAGAAGTAGTCAGAAGTAACTGTAACTGAAATCAGGTGGAGGGGAAACACTTTCAGTAACATTTATGCCAGCATTAAGTAAATCAACAAATCTTTAAATGGTCTCATCTTTCAGAAGTTCCACCAAGTCATTCAGCTTCTAGATCTGTTCCATTTGCAGAATTTCTCCTTGTGTAGTTCCAGTGTTTCTTCAGCTAATGTGGTTTCTGTGATTCAAGCTGGTAAATCTCTTGTATTAATATCTTACAGCATAACTCGAGGAGGAGGTTGAGAAGTGAGAGCTCCTACGACATAGACAATATTGTTATTCCCATGTCACTGGTGGCACCTTCGAAGCTGGAGAAACTACAGTATAAAGAAATCCTTACCCCAAGGTTTGTTCATGGCCTCCTTACTTGAAGAAAGATAGCAAATTGAGCATGAGAGTGTTAATTAAGAATATACTTAACATATACTTAGATAATTTCGTAATACCAAGGCTTATTTTACCCCTGCAGTTCAATTTTTGTATAAGAGTAAATGAAAGACTGGAGAATGGTGGGAAGAGTGGACAGCCGATAGCACGAGGGGAATAGTCTGATGTGCACAGAGCCAGCAGCAGATGCACAGCTGACTAAAAATAGAAATGTGTTTATAGCATCTTAATTCGAGTGATATTTGTGGGCTTACATGGGCTACTAGGCTGAATCTCTCTGAATAGTCATTTTGAGATTGCTGCCTTTTTGGTGTTTTATGGTTCAGTGGAAAGCAGTCAATTTACTTCCAGTGGATTGAAAGTATGTTTTGCACATGATTTTAAGATTTATCCATTCTGATATTGTAGACTAAACTTAACATTTTCCATATGGTGTAAGCCCCTTATTTGTAATGTCTGATTCTAGAGACACCTAAAAGAACAGAAAAATACAGAATGGATTTAGATTTTTAAGAGAGAGTAATTGATGTCCTGTGCTGTAAATTGGTGGCTTATTAGCACATCACCTGAAATAGTAAAATGGGGATGTTTTTTATTTTAAATCTTGTATTTTGCCTGTCTGCTTCTTTAGTGTCTTCAGAAGGTAAGAATGTTACTTAAAACTATTCAAGAGCTTTGTGTTTTGGGGAAGGGAAAGTTTAGATATTGGATTGGAAAAGGGAAAGCTTAAAATTGAGTTATATTTCTTTCAGCACTTTATTTTATTTGAAGGATTTTTTTAAGCATTAGCACTTTTGAGGAAGCAGTGAGTGATAATGTAGTGCTGAAACAGAGGAGTCATCTTTACCATCAAAATGACACTGCATTTAGGTAAAGTTAATTTGACTTGTCTCATTTCTAGCTGGAGAATTGTTGAATTTCAGCCTTTGGAAAGATCCCCTACGGATGAAGATGAGGTAGGCTGCATTTTAATTGGCTAGCAATTTTAAATGGTGATAACCATATATATGTGCAAAGTCAGGGACTTCATGCAAATAAAGGCAAGTTTTCTATTTCTGAAATAAAGTAATAAATGTCAGATTTGTGAAAAATTGATCTTCTTCCAGTCAACTCAACCTTATTGACAAGTGACATCAATGTGACTCTATGCACTAAGAATGAAGGGTGTAGAGGAACTGTACCTGCCCGTTGGCCAACAGGAGATGGCCCGTTCCCTTGGTCACTTGGCTCATCCGTCCCTTGCTGTCGCTGCAGAGGGGCAGACACAGGTTCCTGGAGATCCCTTTGGTTGCACCTCAGTGCTCCCAGCCCTGGTGCCTCTGGTGCTGGTGTCCCAGCGTGACGCTCTCCTCAGCGGTACCGGTGCTGTAGTGGCTGCTTTGCTGTCCTATCTTCTTTCACGGACACCTCCCATGGCCTGCTGCTCCTAGGGGTTCATCTGGCACTTTGCCTCTGGGACCAGCAGGTTTTCTCAGTTTCTTCTTCAATGTGCAGTGTCCTGCTTCAGTTTCCCTTCTTTATGTGTACTCTGGGCTGTACGCTGTCCCTTACAAACATGAATATCGTGGTGGTGGTCTGATTTGTCACCTGCACACCTGCCTTCAGATTTGGGACTGTCTGTTAGCAGGAAAACTTCCCTATCTTCTTTTGGAGCAGAGTGCCATGCAGACACTGTGTCATATGTACTTTAAAATGAATGGACTTGGAAGTGTCTCTCTCTAAAGTCTTCCTGCTCATCCCTTGTTTAATAGCTCTCCCAGTGCATTTATGTTTGGAATTACTAGTTGAGCCTGTGTGATTCATTTCTTTGGCCAGGAAATACTTGAAAAGTAGAGTACAATAAAGCAGCTTGGCCTCCTGCTGTGGTTCAGTGCTCCCATAGTGTCTGGCAGTCATGGCTAGAGCGAGCGAGGAGAGATGTCTGACCAGAGAAAAATGCGAAGGGTCCTGTGTAAATCGTCCTTTGCCTTTTTTTTTTTTTCCTCCTTTCTTTTAGGATCGTATTCACTGATTTGCATGCTTTCTGAGTACAGAAAAACAAGGTAGTTTGGCATGGCTGATCACAGCTGTGCCACTTTGCTCTAGGTTTTAGGCTCAGTTAGATTTGTTACTGAGTAAGCTCAGAGAAGGGGAAAACAAAGAAAGATGAAAGAAAAGCAATACCTTTCTTATGCTCTCTCTCAAGCCCTTGAGATTGTTCCTTGTATGGATTTCAGGGAAGCTTCAGTAAATTATCTGTGAATGACCAGGGAGCAATGAGAACATAAGATATACTTGGTTTTTATATAAGGTAATCCTTCTCTTAGCATTCCACTGTCTAGTCCCCTTTGGAGTTGTCACAGAAAAGATTCATTTCTGCCTGGTTTCTGAGTGGCTAAAATTAAAATTTCTGGATTTCTCCTTGTATCAAACATCAGTTTAGGGATTTCTCCCACTTCATTTCATTAAAAGTGTCCCAGTGCAGCAGCCTGCATCAGAGCAAGAGACTTGCACCCAGCAGTTCTATGACTTAAGAGAAAAATGTGGGGGGGGGGTCCCAAATTGGTCATGTAGATGTCAGTCTGAGGATGAGAGCTTGGCACCTCCCGAAAGTCAGGCCTGTTTGCGGTGGCATTCGTCGAGTACAAAAAGCTTACCTTTTCTGGATGGCTACTTTTGTTTCTGGAAATTTTGCCCTACAAGGACAGGCATTTAAAAGTTGGGCAGTAAAAAGCTGGGCTACAAGCTGTGTCCTTTCCATTGCTCATGCTGAACATAGTTAATTTTTTGGAAATAGAGCATCTGAGTTTCCTGGTCTGCGTGTTGGGTTTTGCAGTGCAGTGTTGCTTTAATTCATGGAAGGGTGTGTTAGGGCTTTTCCTGTCTTCCTTTGTTTCTAATTCCTTTTGCCCAGGTTAAAGTTCCTGGCAAGGCATGTTTGTAAAGACACAATCAAGTTTATTTTGCAGTTGTCTGTTTCAGTAATGGCAAATACTTTGGAATAATTCTTGGCGTCATTAGTTTTGTCTAAGTGTTTCTATGGTTTATGATTGTTGCCCAGGAAGCTGAAGAGTGAACGTAAGACTTGATCTTTTTGCTTCTCGTGGCATCGCTGGACCATGCGACGTGGCTGAGTCATCCGTAAGGGCTCTCGGTTCCCTGCAGCCCTGAGGGTGCAGCCGTTGGTGTGAGGCGCTCTCTGGGGCACCGCAGTGAGGGAGCGGCGGTTGTGCCCCTGGTCTGTCAAACAGGATCACATGAGGAGCATCACTGCTTGCATGACAGGCCTGAGACTTTATTCTTACATAAAACTTGATTTTGCCTGACCTCTAGTTCTTGGTGTGGTTCTGCTGTCCAGGGCAGCTCTGGCAGTGCAACTTTACAACTGCTGTGGCCCAGAGTTCATCATCCCCAGACTTGCTCTGCTTTGGAGTCGGGAGCAGCTGGTGTAAAAGCTGCCACTGTAGCTCTCTTGTGCCGTGCCTCTCCACTCCAGCTTTTAAAGTGACCTCTGAAAGGTTTAGAGCTCTTGGAAATAGATGTGAACTTGGCCAGCAAAGGGTCCAGCCTTGGCCCATCCTGTATGGAGGCCAAGTGCTCCTTGCCCAGCTGTGTCTGAGCAGCAGTCCTGGTGCACTGCCAAAAAGAAAAGGAAGATTTTGGCTCCTTCAAAGTGAGGGTCAGATTTGGTGTCTGCATCAGAGGAGTTTGGCCTAAAAGCTGGCTCTTATTTCACTGAGCGCATGAGGCTCCTGTTGGTTGTCCTGGAGGCGAGCAGAGCGGTTCCTCGGGATGGCACTTGGGAGCACACACCGGTTCATGGCTGGGTTCGTGGCAGGAATGCAGCACCTCAGGTTTGCTGGGTTGCTCTTGGAGCCCCTGCTGTCCCTGGTTCCTCCCTGCGTGGAGAGCACCTGGCGGATACTGCTGCCTCCGGCAGCGGCCTTGGGAACCCAAGGGGTGCTGCTTGGTTGTGCTTTCCACGCCCACTTGAGGCGCTGATGGATAACTGGCCTCTTCATTTCCTGTCATCCACAAGAGGGAAAAAAAAAAAAAAAACAGGTTAGTTGCATTGGGGTACAACTTGTATAGCCATTCAAGTCAACCAAAAACATCAAAGAAATACGAGAGTATGCTCCCCCTCTACCATACCCCCTCCTAATACCGGGGCTTTGATGGCTGAATGCTTTTTTTTAAACATGCCTTTATACATATACTGCAAATATTACCTTGTTTTCTCTCATTTGGTGACCCCCCCCATCTGCACAGAATTATGCATCATATCAGCTGTCTGTTTGCAGTGATGTTTGTAATTACAGCAGCCACGTTCCCTTTTTTGTCATTACAGCTAGAGGATCTGTCGGATGAAGTTTTTGCCTTGCGTCACGCCAAGTACGAAGAGCGGGAGCGCGCGCGGTGGTCGCTGTGGGAGCAGAGCCGCTGGCCCAGGAGGAACAGCAGGCAGGTGCACTGGCTTCCTTGGGTGAGGGCATCCCTACGGAGCCGGCGGCGGCCAGGCCCGTTCAGTAGCTTGCCAGGAACACTGCTAGACAGGGGGCTGCAGCTGAAAGGGGAGTTGTTCTGAAGCAGGTGTGCCAGATGGTCCAAATTTTTCTGTAAGTATAGTAGTGATCCCGTATTGGGGGGGGGGTGCATTCCTGTACTAAAAGCATTGTCCTGCTGCCTTGTGCTGCTCTGGGTTATTACAGCCTTAAAGCCCCTGACTGTAGTAACTGGAGCCTTTCTTCACTGACTGGCCTTAGCTGAAAGAACAAGTCAGCTTTCACCCCTCATTTAGCAATGCATTTCAGTGTTTTATATCAAGTTCCGACTTGCATTAAAGACTGGGTCTATTTTATGACAACAAATTCTATGGCTGCTTTTGAGAGGGCAGCTACAGGCCATAGCAGGCAGGGGAGCTGGCGTGCGGTGGCAGAGTGGAGGTGGGGAAGGGGGGGGATGTGGGGCACTGCTGCTCCTTCTCCAGCTGCCTGTGCAGGCCCCCGGGAGATGCCATGTCCCGTAAGCAGGAGCAGCCCGTGGCTCTCACACCTCTGCGCTCCAGAGCTGTGGTTGTGGGGGAGCGTGTGGAGCAAGGCACAAAGGTGGGAGCAGCCACCGGCTGCACTGCAGCCCTGTTCAGGCCCATTAGCTCCATTCAGAGCCCCCTTTGCCTTGGCTTGGTTTTGTGAGCAGGACAGCTGAGCTGTCCCCACTTTGTACAGGGTCTAGGGCTTAAACCTCTCCTTGCTTCCCTGCCAGGTCGTACAGCAAAAACGCTGATGGGCGACACAGCCATGATGCGGTGCAGAGAGACGTGCAGGGCAGCGCTCCCGACCCTGCTCCCGAGCCAGCGCACGAAGCCCACGGGGCTCCTTGTTCAGGGATCACACAGCCCTGCGGGGAGAGCCAGGAAGCAAAGGTAGGTGCTCAGAGTAGCTTCCAGGTGTGGGCAAGGCTGCAGGGCCCACTGGATCATAACTTGAAACAAGGTGAATCTATGAGAATCGCAGGCTCTCGCCCTAGTTGGTGTGGACTGAGCAGAGCACTCCTGTTCAGAACTAGCTGAACTGTCCCATATAAATGAAGTCCACGAGCTTCTATTGCTCAGCAAACACAGCACATGCTTAAGGGGTGAGGATGGCAGGCCTGGATTCAGGGACACCGCGGCTTTTCTCGGGGCTCTTGGCAGGGCCTCCGGGCCTCATTGTTATGGGCGCAGGTGCCCTCGTGGTCTGGCCCCATGGACGGAGGGCGCTGCCCCTTCCTGCCCTGTGCCTGTTCCTGTTCAGCTGCAGCTCTGCTAGTAGCTCAGCGCTGTCTCAAGCTGCTGTGCATTTTTTATCTGAAGAGCCCTGCAAACACTACAAAGAGTGATGCCCATTTGTTATTTGATAGCACATCATTCTGTACATGGCTGATGAGTTAAGACTCAACTGAAATCCCTTCCCTCCCCTTTCTCTTTTTCATCCCCCACTCCTACCTTCTATTCCTTTCAGTCTGGACTGTGGGAACCTCGAGTTTTTCCACTAAAAGATGAAGAGGTAGAAGCTTTACTGTGCCAAGATCAAGTAACGAATCCAACTGAAATGTCAAGTGCAGCTTTCCCCAGCGACTCTCTCTGTACTTCTTGTACACCCACTGCTTTGCCAGACAAGGGCCATCTACCAAAAAAACAATCCACAGAAGAGCCAGAAGACTGCGAAAATGTTTGCCTGGGAGTCAGCAACACGAGAAAACAAAGGTGACAGGGAATAATGTGGTTCATTAAGAAAGCCAGATAAGGTGGAGAAAAGTGTAAGGTAAAATCTCTCTTGTTCACACAAGATATGACAGCACAATTCAAAACCTGTACGTTAGCCGCACATAATATATTTTCTTTCTTGCTTTGTAACAGGCAGGATAAATCCCAAAGACAACACTTTCTTCTTCCTGAACCCCAAGAGAAAGTAATTATTTCAAGCTGGAAGTCTAATATTCCCAATGTCGGGAGTGGGCGCACATAAATTGCTGGCACCATTCACTGCCTTCTGTTGTCATATTGCCACATTTGTTAATAATCATCATCCTTTTGTTTTGCTTGTATTCAATGCCGTTTGGTTCTAGTGGATCCTGGTACAACAGGATATGCTGTCCACCTTAAAAAATTTCAACTGAACACAGAAAAACTACATGAAAAAAATACAGAGAAGGGACAATTTCCTGATTATTTTCTTGTGTGGCATGAACTTGTGGCAAAAATCTGCCTCCTTTAAATGCATGTGTGTAATCCGTGCATACTATAGGGATAGGTGAGAACCATAAGTTTAAAGCAGGAGTTCTGGAGGCCTTGCATCTAGCTTAAAATGTTACTCAGCTCTCAGTAGTGCCAGGGCATGTTTCATATAGATGTCCTCAAGCAATAAGATAGACATAGTCCACTGTATTTCAATAGTTGATATATCTGCTACTCCAAAAGTCATGTTTCTGTTTGTCATGTGGGTGTAGAGAACCAGAAGGAAGGAGGAGTCAAGGCAAATCAGTGATGCAGCTCTTTTTGAACCTCGTTTTGGGTCATCTTGCTTCCTTAGACCTTCAGGCGCAAATGAGACTCAGCAGTTTGCTTTTAATATTTTAAAGACACAGTCTTGTTCAAATTTCTGTGCAGTGCCTTCCAAGAGTCTCGTGAGTAAGCCAACATTTGGTGAGTAGCTGAAAAGAGGCTTGATGCCTAGAAGACCAATAAAGAATCAAAACCCAAAACTTTCCATTGTGAGTGGAGATAAGATGTCTAATTTCCCAGACAGTTCACAGTGAGGAAACAAAAGCCAGTTGCTTAAACTTGCATCTAAATAGCCTTGTTTGGAATGTCTCTGCAATGGCAAGAGATGCTAACAAAGATTAAGCATCAATGTAAGGATAATGAGTCAAGTTTTTCTGTGGAGAACAGTTGAAGGCAATTTTAGGAGTCTCTGTTTTTGTGCAAAATTTTTTTCCACTTGAATATATGGAACTGAATGGCACTGGACAGATGACCCGATTTTAATGTCAATACCTTTTTCCCTCTCCCCCCCCCCCCTTTCTTTTTTGTCAAAATGACAGGAAATATACACTGGACATCTGAAAACAGTTCAGTAAAGTTTCAACACTACCACCTATTGCTACATTGTAGTTCATTGCACATTCTGATTATTTTTTAAACACTTTTTTAACACTGGTTTGTCTTAAACTTGAATCTTGCTTCAATGTCTGATACAATAATCTTTGATGCAAGGTTGTTTTTTTAATTAAAAGTTATTTCTATACATGGTGTACAAAGTCTGAATGGCGACAGCCTTTTGAAAGCAGTGATGCTTCCCCGTGGCACAGAGCCGGGCTTGGCCTGGGAGGGGCTTTGCAACCTGCCAGGGGCTGTGGTGCGAAGCAGGGCTCTGAGGCTAAAGCTCCTGGCTGAGCTCACAGGTGAGTCTTCCCTTTCTGGCTGCTGTTGCTGGAGCCGAGTGCCTGGGATGCTCTGCAGGGCTCCCCTACCTTTGTGCACTCACTTGGACATCCCATGGAGCCGCCGTGGCGCTTTGCTCTAAGGTCCAGGCTTTCTGCTCTGCCTCATCCCTGGGGCAGTGCGAGATGTTTCTGCAGTTTAGAGCTGCAACAAAGCACAGCAGCCAGCTGGATGCCTGAGGTGGTCACCTGCAGGCATAAACAGGAAATGGAAATGCAGTCCAGTCTTTTAAAGTAAGGAGTGTTTGTCTAACTGGGGAAAAAAAATGTTGAAGTGAGGCAACAAGAAAATTGAGAAAGGAGGAGGACCACATTTGGTCCAGGTAGTGAACTGGAAAGCAGCGGTGGTGCCCTGCGCAGGCACAGGCCCATGTTGGGTCCATCTCGGGACTAAAGCAGCTGCTTGCCACCTTGCCAGCAGCAGGGCCCCTATAAGGGCTTCCTGGTAGGAGCATGGAAACCCCTTCCCCCTGTCCTGGCTCCAGGTGCTTTGAGCTAGCTCCTGTGTCAAACTGGTAGTGCCTCACACTGCAGCCATTAAAAGCATGGCAAAGATAGATGGGAGCCAGCAAAAACAACCAACCTCTAAACAGGACTAATTTTAAAAATGTTTGTTTGGTCACACCTACCTGTTCCATGGTCAGAAATCTTTTCTGTAGCATTTGCCTCTCGCTGGCCTTGCTGCAGCAGATGGTGAGGGCCGTGACAAGGAGAGCTGCTTGTGAGAGCCACAACCGCCGCGCCCGAGCGATTCCGCTACCCGACCCGCCACTCTCCGTGTTCCTACGGGGCAGGCCGCGGCCGGCAGGTGAGAGGCGTGGGTCAGCGGTGGGGGGGATGGGACCTCCTGCCTCCCGCAGCCTCCGTCTCGCAGGGGCAGCACCGGATGTGCCGCAGGTAACGCTGCAGGTAGTGCAGCCGGAGGAGAGGCTTTCTGGGCAGCTCCTGGCTGCGCTGCTCAGCCCAGCACGGCTGCCACGGGCTGCCTTCCTGTCCAGCTGCCGGGAGGGACAGAGCTGCTCTGGGCACAGGGTTAGAAAAGCTGCTTGGTGGAACTTGGTCACAGGGCCATCCCCCACCTTTCACGTCCTGTTTCCACACTGCTGCCCTGCGCTGGATGGTAGCACACAAGCCTGCAGCTGGGCTCTGTGAGGAGCTGGTCCCCAACTCCACCTCGGTAGTTTGTGAATCCGGGTGTCCTGGGAATGCTGGTAGTGCGAGCAGGCCAAGAGCTCCAAGCCGTGGTCATTGAGACATAAAACGTGCAACAAACCCCTGCTTGTTTACTGCTTTTCAAAAAAGGAAAAAAGCTATTTGTTAGCTGTTAGTGCTGCTTGCGGTGCTGTGACCAAAAGTATTACAAAGGCTGGCTCTGAAATTATGCAGCATGAAACTTGGGTAGTGCAGCCTATAGAGAACGCTACTTCCCTCGTGCTTGATTTACCACTTTCAATTGAGAATTGAAATTTTTGTCCTCTTGCCTGCAGCTCTGAGGGTTTAAACACTTGCTTCATCTCCACATGCCGGAGCTGAATGAGATGTTAAGTACAGGTGCCAAATTCTGTATTCCTCTGTATTTAACTTCTATCTTGCACAGTGCTAATTTAAGACTGAACAGAAGTGCAGGCTGTCAACTATCCAATTAAAAACAATGGCAAAGAGGTGAGCAAACCCTTTGGAAGAAAACGTTCCGTGAGGAACTCCGTGGTTCCTTGCTCAGAACAAAGCACAGCGCATGCAGGTAACTGGCACTTTTTTTTTTCCCCCCCCCAAATTATTAAAAAATAGTAATTAGCTTGAGGTCAGATGCAGGAGGCGGGAATACTGCCACTGCTTTCAGTCATGAAAAGCCACATTTCTGAGTTAAGAGCTACCTTTCTCATAGCTGTGGTTTGTGACTGCTTAGTCTGCATTTTAAATAGAGGAGACTAGACTGCTTTTATATACACAGTATGCTAGGCTCTAAACAGCTTGTTCCAGAAGCAGGAAGAGCTGCTTCAACACAGCTGGAAGCTCTGCGAACCCTTTGCCAAGCTTGTGTCTCCCCACAGCCACCTTCTGAAAGATGCCATCCAGGTGGTGGCCCCAGGTGACTCCATTTGTCTTTTGCTACTTCTCATATAGGGGTGAAGATGGGGGAAATAGGAAGCAACCACATTTGTTCATCTAAGCCACAACTAACGGCAGGAAAAGAGAAGTTGCTCAGCCATTTCAGAGAGGCTCATCCTGGCTGCCTGCTGCTGGGAGCCCTCACAGTTCCTGACCACAGTAGCAGGGAGTGCATCCACTAGCACCACCTCAGCACTTGGTAGGGCACCAGCTGCTTTGCTTTAGGGACAGCAGATCTGTTTGCTGCTGTGCAACAGATCGTTTGCAACACTCCTATAATTACAACTTACACAAAAAACATACCGACTAGAATGCTGTAAAATATTAAAGGAGTCAGCAATGCTCACTAGGGCCACAGGAAGCAGGCCTATCGAAAATACACCACTGAGGTCATCATCTGCTGGGGTTTAAATCTCCCTTTAACTGGCCTGAATAGAAACTAAAGTAGATAGCAAGTTCTGGGAAACAAACAGAAGGTAAGAAAACCTAAAATTAAACTTCTTTACAGTTGCAACCTGCTCCCACTGAAAGCACCTGAGTTAGATGACATTCCAGGCAGCCCTTGTCCTGAGCACTGACTCCATGATGAAGTACACAGTGAGGAGGCTCTGGGCAAGGACAGAGCACATCAGCTGCCTGTAGGCCTTTAGAGCAAGAATCTTCTGCTCGTGGATTCCCACTGCTCCTGGGGTTTCAGTCAGCACGGTCTCAACTAGCTACTTGTAGAGACTGAGAATCCACTTACCTGTCTGTCACCTGGTTGAAGGTATAAGCTGAGCTGTGAGCCTGAGCGCAGGTCAAGTACTAAACAGCCTGTGGTTTGTGCAGTAAAAACAAATGGGAAAAATCTGTGCATGAAGCTTTTTAGTCCCATCAAGCCACACTTCTCCTGAACTCACAATCCAAACAACTAGTTTTTGAGAGGCAGCTAGAAGAGACTTACCGCACCAATATAAGTGTTTAATTCAGCCATTGCAAAAGTTTGGTAGGAATGCACAGATCAAACGACAAAATACAAACAGCAGAAGGCAGCTGCATTAGAGTCTTCCACAACAAATCGCATGTTGTGATGCTACATTCCTCTAGCAAGCAAAAACTGACTGACCTTTAGTTCATTCCAGTCAGCATTACAGGTTGTACTACAAAACTAGCCTCCACAGAATCAAGAGACAGGTTCGAATCATTGCATTTCCAATCCTGAAAAACAGCCACAATGTTTGTTCACTGCTGCTTTCTCCAGTGCAGCAAAGGAATGATTTTTCTGTTCAGCAGCAGCACGTTTCCACAATTAACATCATTCAGCCCTCCCTTATGCTCGAGAAACCCGGGCTCCCTGCGCGCGCAGGGCCTTGACCGCTGCTTGGGCAGGTCTCATCGGTCCAGGCACCGCTTCTGAGCAGCCTCTGAGCACACGTTCCTGAGGAGATTGATCACGGACCTGGGGTCTGCGCTCTTCATAATGGCGCTGCCAGATACGATCATGTTTGCACCTGCCTGGAGGATATTAAACAACCCACTCAGTAACGTGCAACAGATGCATTTCTTAAAGAGCTTCTTGCTGTAAAACCAGGGAGTGAACTCCAGGCTGGAGCACAAGCTAGCAATGCTTTTAGGACACAGGTATCATGCCTCTAAGTACAAGAGCAAATCCATTTTGGAGAAGACTGCTTGTCCCAAAGAGGCCGTCTTGAATTTCTTCACTGTTGCTCCCATTTCAAGTACAAACTAGAACCTGGGCATACAGGAAACAAACCATCCCTCTAGCTTAGGGGATGGTACAGTGGCTACTATTAAAAACAGTCACAAGATTATACCTTAGAGCTGAAGTGGATTTTGATACTAAATCTGCCTTACTGGTCCTTCTAAAACTAAACATGCTGTAAAACCTTCAAAAAGTTAGGTTCTGAGAGAAGACTGTGTCTGTGAACAGTTTGCGAGCACTGTTCTTTCAGCCTCTTACCTCTGCACATTTATGGATGGTGTCAGGCCCCACTCCGCCATCCACTTCAATATCAAGTGAGGGAAATTGGGTCCTCAGCCACTGAACCTACAAACCGGTAAAACAAAGTCTAGCACCAGGAGCTTGTACTGAGTGGTCACTGCAACATGTAGTTTCTTAAACTGAAGTAAGGCTTTATTCATCACTACACTCTTCACTTCAAGGTCAGTAGGTAAGAACAGGGAGGATGTGTTTACCTTTGGCATCATGTCTTCCATAAATTTCTGCCCTCCAAATCCAGGTTCTACTGTCATCACCAAAGCCATGTCAATTTGATTGGCCCACGGAGCCAATTGTTCAACGGTAGTCGCAGGCTTGATGGCCAACCCCACCTACGGACGAGGCACGACAGATCCAGGTGTAGCTTAATAAAACAGAGCCAACACCTAAGAACTGAAGCGGAAATGTGTAAGCGCAGCTGCAGCGAGGGCTCCTTTGGAGCCAGGCTTGGATTTCCTAAGTGGAGCGCACCCAGGGCGTGCCAGGGCTGCAGCAGCAGCGACACTGCACGCTTCCCACCGGCCCCGGCCCCTCACCTTCATGCCGTTCTCGCGGATGTCCTTGATGAGCGCGCCCGGGTTGTCGGTGGCCTCCAGGTGGAAGGTGTACTGGTTGGCGCCCGCCACAGCCATGGGCTGCACCCACTGCTCGGGCCTGGCCACCATCATGTGCATGTCTGCAGGGGCGGCAGCGTGAGCAGCGCCGCGGCGCCGCGCTCCGCCCGTGCCCGCCCGCCGCCTTACCGAAGAAGGGCTCCTGGCCCAGCTGCCTGCGCAGGCTCTCCACGACGGGGTGGCCGAACGTGATGTTGGGCACGAAGTGGCTGCGGGGCGCGGGAGAGGCTCGCGTTAGGCGGCGGCCCGGGCCGGCCCGCGCGCGCCCGCCGCCGCGGCCGTTACCCGTCCATCACGTCCAGGTGCAGGTAGTCGGCGCCGCAGTCCAGCAGGCGGCCGCACTCGGCGCCCAGCGCCGCCAGGTCGCTGTTGAGGATGGACGGCCCGATCCGGCACCCCGACGCCATGGCCGCCGCCCGCCGCCGCCGCGCGCATGCGCCGCCCGCCGGCACCGCCCCCGCGGCCGTTGGGGCGGCGCGCGGGGAGGGTGAGGCGCGCGGCGCCGCGGCCGCCCCAGCACTCAGGAAGCAGCAGCGGTTTTTGCTTGTTTTATCATAGCGGAAAAGACAAACACCAGCTTGGGCACAGGGAGACAGCACAGAGCCTACGGCTACAGGACACGTGCGCTAGGACAGTGCAAGCGCCACCGACACGGACATGAAACACGAGCAGAGGCTGGCCGGCCCGCCCGGCAGCTGCGTCTCTTAACAAGCATTAACAAAATCAAAGGCATCCACTGGGCCACCTGAATAATAAAGCTAAAGTACAGGTTACATCATTTATAAGCTGCATTGATTTCTAGCAGGATAAAACTTTAAAAAGAGGCATTTTAGTTCTTGTTATGGCTTACTACTGTGGCTTCGCCTGTGACAGTGCGAAACCTTAATGGAAACATTTATCACACACATTGAACTCAATGAGGTGGATCACAGTTACTCTTCTATCAGTATGAAACACCATGGTGAGGCATCAAAGCGAATTCCTCCATCCCAGGATCAGCAGAAAATGCTCTACAACCCACCCTGTGCTCTGCGTTTCAGCCATGTGCCCAGCCTGCAGCTGGAGCCCTCCTTCCCACCCCGCTGCCCGGCACCAGCCTGCCTGGCACCCGGTAGCAAAGCTGCCTTCACCTGCACCTCACTGTCACTAGGAAAACCGAGCAAATGAATTGACTGGGTGACCTCCATGCTAGCGGCTAAGCCACAGCAGACTCCGATAGGTAACCAGTGCTGGCTCCAGCGCACTGAGAAGAATCAGGAGAGCAAATTTTTGGTCAGCAAAATAAGCTGCTTGTCATCCAGAGCACCTGGAGGCACTGCCATCCAGACACACACCCAATTACCTCCTTTTGCAAAACCCTGCGCACCTTGAAATAACATCAGTTAATGCTCAATCTGTATGTAAGTATACACATATGTATACACACACACACACACACACATATATTTTCCTCTGTCCCTGCTTTTCTCAAGACGTGCTGAGGCTCCATCTCCCAGTAAGGCAATGGAGCCGAGCCCACTCAGCACCTGTGCGGTGGGCACTGCACGAGCAGGGAGGGATGTTCGGCCTGCACGAGCTGTGTCCTCTCACTGCTCAGGTTTGATGGGCGCTGTACCCCCCACAGGACAAATACACAGCAGCAGAGCGTGAGGGTGTCCTCAGTCAGATGGACAGTAATTCTCCAGTGCCACAGCACTGAGACTGCCGTCTCTAAGGTAGTGTTTTGAAGAGCTATTTCAGAGTTCTGAAGAGATTGGAGAGTCTTTTCTGGGAGATGGCTCTTCAGAAAGACAGTTTTATGACATACATGTTCATACTATGAATCCTCAGGACCTCAAAATCCCCATCTCTTAATTAGCACATGGTAGAAACTCAGGATGATCTCAGGATTTTCCTATGCTCAGCAACCCCATGATTACAAACTCCAATATTGATGAATCCCAAGGCACAGGGTAACTTTGGGCATTGCTTTTGATTTCATGGCTTGTTTGACAGCTGCTCTGCAGTTTGCCCATAGCAGCTAATGGCTAAATTCACATTTCAGTTTAACGCCACGATGCTGCAGCATAGACCATAACTGAGCCGTGACTTCAGCTGATCCTCCAAGGGCCTCACCACCTACACATAAATGTGATATGGATGTATCTAATACTTGCAGCTAGGATATTACGTACATAAAATGGAACCTTTTCAAATAGAATCTCAACATGACAAAAATAGATTCTTTCATCAACTTTCTGCCCTGCAATACCCATTTTCCATTTACAATGTACATATATATGTGCGTGTGTGTATATATATTTTTATATATATAGGAACATGAAAATTCCATATCTAAATATTTACTTTAAATCCTTATAACTAAGAACACAAGACAGCATCAATGGAGCAGTTGCTCGGTACCAGGAGGTCCAGGCATTCCAGATGCGCTTTCTTGAGTTTTTTTGACCACTCTGGATGAATTACTCAGTACCTCAAAGCAGGACAGCGAGGACTATTTATACCATCTGCAGACCATTCGCCCCCTGCCCATCTATATCTGTGCACAGCATGTGCATTCCTCCCTATGGTATGCACTGTATTTAGCTTTACAGGGCAAATATTTTTGTAGCACAAGGGTAGTATCTTACAGAGAGGAATGAAATCCAGAGACAAAAGTAAACTCAACTAATGTCTGCAGTGACACACACACAAAAAATCTGATCGAACCACTCCAAGGTCAGAAACAATGGTCTCAAGTTGGAAAAAAAAAATCAAGCTTCAGATTGGTACTTTTTGTCAGTATTTTGACAGTCAGTACCAAGTTTTAAGGGCCTTGGATATAGCCCTGCTCCCCCAAAACTACAAAAATAAACCCTGCGTACAACCTCAAAGAGGTTTTTCCTTTTTCTGTCTCCTACAGTACAGGACTGCTTACCCAGAGAAGCTGCTGATCATGAGCACAGTACACGGCTGCCACATGGCCAACACAGGCTTCATGGCCCATGTACTTGCACACACTCCCATACCCTGAGAATTACGTAAAAATTCTCCTCTGCTCCTGTAGTCTCGCCTCAGACTGAAACAGATTTGACAAACAGGAATTTGCCAGTCTCTAGCAAACAGGCTGTGAGCTCTGTTCGGCTGTGGCAGATAATAAAGTGCTCTTGCTTCAATCAGTTACCAGGGGGCTCAAAGGAGAAGGTGGTGTTTCTCTTCCTCCTCCCTTTACTGCACTTGCCCAGACTTAAACGTGAGATTCATCCAGATCGACGTCGGTCTCGCCGAGCTCCACGTGCGTGTAGCTGAAGTGGGTGGCCAGCAAGGGGTTCTCCATGCCGTTGTCCTCGCTGATGTGCAGCACCGTGTCCCCGTGCTGCAGCAGGCTGGTAGTCTCGAGGCCGGCGAAGTCCTCGGTGTCCGAGAGCTGCACAGGGGGGCTGCTCTGCTCCGTGGCTGGCCGGGACTCCACGGCCTCCTCCTCTTCCTTCTCAGCAGAAAGGGCCTCGCTCTAGAATTGATCAGAGCCAGCAGTCAGGCCACAGCTCGGAAGAAGGAGGAGGGGGAAAGAAAAATGCAAGAAATCATCTATTAAATGTTTTCTCTGCCATAACTACTTTTTACTTTAAAGAACCATGCATTTATCAATCATCAAAATTCTGCCCTCATGATGCGTATTTTTGCGGTGACCAGACCAGCTGATTTTCATCATTTGTATTTCTTCATTTCCCTTTTGAGCATTTTTTTCTGTAACATGCATCTTCATTTACCATCATCCATGGCAGAGAACATTCATCCATTAGATATATGGGCTTATAAACATGATCTCCATGTCAGCAACGGAATGATGATTGTGGTTGTCCCTGCACTGCCCTCAGTGGCGCCCAACACAGAGAAACGTTCAAGCTTCTCTTGAAATGTGATATTTTGCTAAACCAGTCATGAGTTTTTAAACGAATCCTTCCTTAAGGATGAGCCAGTCTAGCAAACACTCAGCTCCCCTGCAACGCAGAAGCTGTGCAGACAAGCAGCGAGCAGGGTAGGAAGAGCCTTTGTGTGTGATGGGAAAATGAATGGGGAAGATGCAGCAAACATATTTGCAGATTAAGAATCACTGCAACCATCTAGAAGCCAGTGGTTATGAGAGCAGAGGAATGGGCAGCAGACAGCTTAGAGGAGAGACCCACAGAGTGCTGCTGCTTTCACTCACAAGCCAGCTTGTGTCACGACGCATCACACCTTTCCCTATCAATTCCCCTGCAACTTAAACCAGCAGGCCCCGGGGGTGAAGCTACCGGTGCCGCTACCTGCCCAGCGGTCTGGCCGTGGAGATCAGCAATGACGACGGCGGGTGAGGAAGTCAGCAGGGGGTTCCCCACAGCTCCCTGCTTGCCGGGCCCCGGGGGGCTGCTCCCCTGCTGCTGGGCTCCTGCGGCCGAGGGGCTGCTCAGGGGGGCCGCTGCTGCCTCCGGCTGGGCTTCAGTGAAAGTCACTGACCGCTTCTGCTCCACTGAGGCTATAAAAATACAGAAAATTCACTATTAAAGTGTTCTGATTAAGGACTGAAAACAGTGCCTACAAAGCAAAGAGAGCATCCCTGGAGTTGTTACAGATAGGGCAGCATTCATGGTTCACTCCATCTTTGTAATCTGTCTAAATGGAGTCTAATGTTCAAACTTTTTACCCCTAGTCTTATTCTAAAGCCAATGCCAGAGGCAAGAATTTCCTGAAAATTATTCATCCTCTCTCTGTCACAGTTTGATAAATGTCACCTACAACATCCTTCCATCTTAGAATGACTGAGTTCCCATTTGAGTTAAGGTGTTACTGCCCTCAACAAGAGCAAAACCAAGAGGCAAATATGTAAGAGACTTTTTTTTTTTTTTTATTAGGGAAAAAAAAAAGGATTAAACTGCTGGGACTTTGCTTCCAATATGGTAGCGAACAGCAAGATTGTAACAACCCAGCCATCACCAACCTGAGCCAAACGCAGGCTGGTAAGACATGGCGCCTCTTATTTCTACATGAGATGAGCATATTTATTCTCCAAACACGTTAAAACTCTTCCTTAGAGCCAAAACAACACCACAGTATTTTCTACTTTAAAATATGAAGTGCTAGTTCTGCAAACACAGCACTGCCCTACCGCTAGGCTTTGGTTTGGGCTGGATGCTCCGCCGCGTGGTTGAAAGTCGAGCTCCGTGACGGCTACGAGGTTCAGTTTGGGTTTTCTGACGGGACAGAAGTGGCCTTCGAAGCTAAACAGTGAAAGCAAGAGTCATAATCACATATTACAAAGCCCTTAACCCATAAGGGACAGGTTATATTCACATTGTTCCAAATCCAACACAGGGCAGAAAAAAGAGCCAGAGCAACAGAAGGAAAGAAGGGGTCTTGCCCACCCATGCCATATTCTCACCTGCCGCAG